TGAAAATGGGAGTGGGAGAGAAGCCAATTTTTCTCTATAAGAAGCAAGATTTGTTCCAATACATGATTCACGCTATAGGGTTGCTAACATCATTTATCTCCCTGGTACCGTAAATATTGGATCGAGGGTTTTTTAGGCCAGCTTTTGAACCAACCCAGGGAATGTGGTTTGTCTAATATAGCTTATTGGTTGTATTATTTATCTAGGAAAGATGCACCTTTTTTATCCCATTGACAGTTATTGTCTGAAACAGAATTTTGGAATTCTTCCATTCCCCTTTCTTCCCAATGGCAAACTAACTCTGTTTGGTAAAGCGCTTCCCATGAATTTCCCTGTGACCACTGTGAAGGCTGTTAACCGGTTATAATTTATGACTCGCTGCCAAGTATTCATTAGGCTTTCTTTAACTGACTGTTTAACTTTGTTTCCAGGCCAGAAATCTTGGACTTAGCCATGAACTTAACTTCCTATTTCCTTTCCAAAATGTTAACCATCAAAGCAGAGTAAAAGTGACACTGGCAAGATTAAGGGTCCAAAATGTATCACGCCTTGGTACACCTGAAATTTGTCATTGGCTAATAGTTGTTATCATTATCTAAGACAAGTCACAGACTGAGGTTTCCTGCGGAAGGCTCTCCATAGATTTATGGGTGCCAGGGAAGGCTTCTGGGGAGAGAAGCTGCAGTGTATTTGACAGATTGTACAGTACCTCACAGGAGGTATTTTTCCTTGATGTGTCATCATTGGGAACTCTGGTGCAACATTTCATCAATAGCAGAATGAAAAGCTCTTTTGGGCGAAAGTGCTGCTGAAACAATGATTTCTTTCTAAGCGAGAGAAAGGCGCATTATCAGAAACAACAAGCCAATAGCATAATTGATTGAGAGGGAGGAATCCATACCATACGTTACACTTGGGAGCTATTTAGCAATCGCCACCCATGTCATAGAGTCTGCTGGAATCTGGAACATAGTAAGTTAAGACTAAGGCTGGTCTCAGTAGGGATTCTGGGTAGTGGGATACCAAAATGTGGTTGGGTCTAGGATGGACAGGAAGTTATATGATTCTCTACTGAAGGGTAAAGGCATCATTCAGGTATTGTGTCCAGTTCAGCCTAGAATAGTCATGGCTAAAAGCTGTCCCCCTCATATGTCATATCAATGGTCTGTGCAACATAAGATACTTATGTTTCAGGCTGGTTCTTCATCACTCAAACCACTACAACAAATGGTTCCCCTTCTTGGAATTTCATCCAGAGTTAAACAGACCCTGGGCTCCTTCAGGACAAAGCTGAAGTCCTGGTGAAGCATGTAGAAGCTGACAATGCTGCCATCTCTTCTGTACATGATTTACAGATGAAGTGAGCTTCATGCTGGGTTGGCACGTAGGCAAGGGAGAAACACAGATCTTCACGGGGCACATCTACATGAGACACTTTACTTGAGATTAGAGCAAATTACTGTGCAGTAAGCATCACCGTCTACATGTGCAGATGCTTGCCGCACAGTAATCTGCTCTAATCACAAGTAAATTTGCTACCTGGAAATACAAGTAGCAAATTTACTCGGGAGTAATTACTGCGTAGTATGGCACATGTAAACGGCTGACTGGGAGTAAATGTGCTCCTGGTCATCTGAGCAGCAGGAGGCGGGAGATTGCTCCCTGCCTCTGGGAGCTGCCTGCTGCAGGGGCGGGCTTTGCCACTGGACCCTGGATGGGGACAACATTCCTGTGCCCCAGCAGCAGGGAGACCCTAGCTCCGGCTCCACATTTGGAGAGCAGGGGCTCAGAGATGATTGTTCCTAGCCCCAGCTCCACGATCTGGAGTGGGGGCTGGGAGATTCTTATCTGGAAGAGGAATGGGGCAGGGGCTGGGAGCTCCCTGCTGCCAGGACAGGAGGATATTGTTCCCAGCCAGGCTCTGGTGGCGATGCCTACCCTGGCAGCAGGCAGCTCCCAGGGGCAGGGAGCAATCTCCCAGCTCCTGCCAGGAGACAGCTGTTTCCTGGCCCCCTGTTCCCTGCCAGTCCCTGGGCTACCATCCAGGGGGAGCCTAGAGCTCCTCCTGGCTGCTGAAGGTGTCTGGTGCAGGGGCGGTGGGGGTGGAAGCGGGAGCAGATTTGCTGCTCATGGCAGCAGTCTGCTCCCACTTCCCCACACATGTAATACCTGCCTGGGGTGGGTTTACTCTAGAGTAAATTACTCAGTAAACCCACCATGGAGCATTTGCACATGTAGATATGCCCATGGATACATTTATATAGATTAGTAAGGCACTCAGACAGTAAGGAGATGGGTACAATGCAGAAACCTGGACAAACAGATACCAGTGGTATAACAGTCTTTGGAATAGGTTGTTATCTGCCAGAGATCAGCATAGCTGTACTGAAACCAATGGAACTGTCCTGATTTCCATGGGACTGGGTCTAGATGGGATCTCTGGGTCACTGAAGTCACTCTTCTTGTGCAGGTCACCACTTCATAGTCACATTCACATCCTTATCAAATTCCATCTTAAAACTAATTAGGTTATGCTAGCCCAAAATGAGGCTCTATCAGGGAATCAGACAGTAGAAATGGTTGGGAGGAAATGATCCATTATATCCAAATATGGGATTGTTTAAGCCAAAGGGTGTTTCCAAACATCCCAGGCTGATATTTTCATGTGTGCTCTATATCCTCTCATGTCTAGAAGTGACATTTTTAGTTCTATTAAAAACCAGAACAGCAAAAGTATGACTATGGGTATGTCTTTGTTTCCTGGGAGCCTCTTACAGAGGAGGAGGAAGAAAATGAGTAATTAGTCATTTGTGAATTACTGAAGCAGGATACTGTAGAATTAGAATGAATTTTGGCAGTGGGAAGGAGGCAAGTGAATCATTTGATTGGAGCTAAAAAGCATATCTTGCAGATGATATGAGAATTTTAAACCCGATCTTTCATCTTCCAATCTCAAAAACTCCAGGTTCGCTTGAGGTTGTCAATGGGCCCCAAACTTGCCCATGCTGAAAATGAAGTCCCACCATTCCTAGTTCGTACCCAGCTCTGAAAAGTGTGTGCAATTTTTCTGGTTCTGGATTGAACCCTGAGGTATATTTGCTAAATATTATGATTTGAGAGCCTAGCCATTTTTTATTTTCTCTTCATTGCTCAAAGAGAAGTTGTGGACAGGAGCAGTAATTGCTGGCTGATATGCTTTGGTCTGTTTTATGCAGGAGGTCATATGTAGATGAGCACTGTGGCTCCTGAAAAGCTATGAATCTCTAATATTCTTAGAAAAATACTTTTTTTCCCTTTTCAAAAAAGCTGTGGTGAGGACATGGGTGTATTGGGAAAGGGTTGGGGATGCTAGTTGTGAGATTTCTGATTTCAAGGGAGGCAATGTGGACTGGTGGCTAGTGTGGTAAACTGGCACTAGGGTAGCTTGGGTCCTATTCCTGACTCTGTCACTTGCTTGCTGCATAGCCTTGGGCATGGCACTGCACTGCTCTGTGCCTCAGTTTCCCCGCCTATAAAAAGAGAGAATCCTGCTCATCTCTTAGGTAAAATGTTGTGCAATCTCCTGCTG